GTACATCACAATCGTTCTAAACGTTCTACTCAAAATTACAATGCTCACTAGTTTTATGGTTACCACAAGTAAACGCCTTAACTACGTATGTCCGGCCGCAAACCGAACTTGGCAAAGGCTCACTATTATTTCTTGCGATCTCAAACATGAGCGTGATACCTATTTCCTTAACATATCCCACATTATCTACCTTAATTATTATTTACCGCGCATAAACCGATTACAATCAAAACCACTAAGGTTGATAAAAACAAACCGAGTCAATTCTATTATTCCGTCATAGGATGTGGTTATACGCCTAAGATAATTTTCTACTTGCAAAGCAAAATCAACTGTTCAACAATTACGAAAAATAATACTAATAACTTGTTATAACACCCGAAGCGAAGGTCTAGCCATTTGCGAAACAAAGACATTACCAGTTCTTTCTTAATTCCTCAGTTATTTTACGTCCATGAGTGTTGGTCCGCCACCGCGAGAGGCGACTCGAACCCGCGACACCCCGCTAGCAAACACTGGACAGCTCAAGTTCCTTACTGTGCTAATTCTGCCTCGGTCAAAGTGACATTTCGCTTGAGCGCACATTTCTCTTGAAACCGGCGTTTCACGGTTCTTCAACTAGACTGGCTTAGAGAAGACCTGTCTCCTTGCAAATAATAAATCAATAATAATTTGTCTTAAATAAGTTTTAGCACGATTGCGTGGCGGAAACACATGAGTTTACCCAGTTCCAAGGATTACGTTATTTCGCTCTTTAGTAAATAAATGTTACTGTTGTTGATAAGTATTTATTGACATGAAAATTATACCGAAATTCTAACGAATAAAGTTGCTCTTTTCTGATGCAATCTGTGAAGGAAAAAAAAACCGCCCAGCCCACTTAGGATAGATGCTGTGAATAAGCATAAAATAATAAAAAGCGTGGCATACTGGAAAGTCCTGTGTAAAACCTTTTATCTATTACTTACCGCTTGGCAAAGAAGCTAATGGAAAAATAGAAAGAAAAATTAAAATCCGCATCGTGAGCACGTCTTGAGCAAAGGTGCAACCGGCAACAGATAAATGACGCTGAGGACAAAGAATTGGCGTTGATATCTGTTTTCCACGGTTGATCAACCTGTCAATCAATGATTTCTCATCTGCGATTTCCTATTGGTTTACTGTTGCCAAAGTGTCATGAAAGTCCTGCTCGGCCGCATCGGCTCTAGCCTGCGTAGCCGCACGTTCTTAGGAGTTCGTCACGAGTTCCTGCCTAAATTATATAGAGAACTAGAACAACTACGTGGAACTTACCGGGGCCCAGTGGCCCAAGGGATTACATAGATATAGTTTACCCCTTGCACCCCTCCCCCCTCCTCTGTGGAGGCTAACACTTAGTCTGATTTAACTCATGCAGAAAAAAAGCAATAAAATGCATGAGAAAGGAGGATGTTGTTGTAAGTTTGTTCAGTGTTATCACAGCTAACGGTCTGTGTTATAGTAGTGTTTTTATACTGTGATGTCAATAAGTATGATCTGTATAAGGTTTTTATTTGTTTTCAAGTTTGAGTGAAAGAGCAAAAATCACTGACAGTTTTGGGTTGAATGGTAATGACAAAGTTTGCAAAGAAGTTTGTTACAGAATTATCACAATTTTGCCTACACGGTCTGCATTACACTTCTCATAGAACAAACATGCATGTTCATGGAGAGCCTGTAGTGTTGAAGAATCCCAGTAAGTGCATGATTTGATGACAGAGAAACAAAACTGCATATATGGACATAATAAAATGCTTATTTATTGATGACTGAGTATCATTTGTTCATTCATTGCACATTGAAATGGAGGCATCTGATTGTAAGGCAGTGGTTGATACATAGTGGCATTCATCAATATGACCTATAGTAATTGTAGAGGAAGTATTTCTTTCCTGAACTGGGTAAACAGTAATAAGTGGTGCAAAGCCTTGATTAGGTTCTGCTATTTGTATAGCAACATTTAGCAGAGGGTTCATTAAGGTTTTGAACAGGAGGGCAACTGAGTTTGACACCCGGGCAAAGAATTGGCAAGGCCCGGAGGGCCTTTCCCCCTAGGGGTCCGGGGCATGTTCCCCCGGAAAATTTTGAAATTCTATAGTCGCAGGGATGTGTTTTCCTGCATTTTGAAGCTGCAGACAATGACTTTCAACAACCAAAAAAAGATAACTTTTCTAGACAATTGAAATTCTATAGTCGCAGGGATGTGTTTTCCTGCATTTTGAAGCTGCAGACAATGACTTTCAACAACCAAAAAAAGATAACTTTTCTAGACAATTTAATCATGATTTGATACCAATACCCACCACACAAATTGGACTTTTTGGTTCTCTTTTAATAGCTCGGCTCATAACAATCTTTACTCAAAGTCACTGTCAGCATCTGAGCCGTAATCAGAGTCATGGTCAGTCTACATCTTATCTTTAAAATTCCAATGTTTTAACGTGAACGCACCGAAAATTAATTCATTGGTGTAAACCATAAGACGAATAAAAAATCACGCTTCGCTTCGTTGAACATGATGATTAAGCCATTCAGTATATACAGGCAAGTAAAAGGTTAAATCACAAAGAAGTCTACTCACCTCTTGGCCTTTTCTCTACTGGAGACCCTTTGGTTGAAGCCGAAATATAATCCGCTATCGAACGCGTTCTTTTCTGGGCCGCCATGCTCACGTGCTCCTAACACTGATACATTTTAGGTGGTCGTTTATGAAGCACAGTTATTTTCGCAATGTGTTATGGGGCGATTCCTGTTTTTAACACATTTAACGAACGAGGGGATTTCATTCCGCGTGTAATAAAGTGGAAATTGCCGGCAAAGTATGTTTTACACTCGATAAGACTCATCAAGAAAAGGGCACGATTGTAACTTAAAACTGTTTTTGATCTTTCCTTGTATTAAAAAGAAGTTCTTTGAGATGTAAAGCAGCCGGGCAAAGTCGTGTTCACAGCCGGTCAATTTGCCCGGTGCCCGGCCCTTAATGAACCCCCTGATTTAGTGCATCTGCAACTGCTTGAATGATAAGTGCATCAGCCCATGTACCTTGAATACACATATTATTCAGATATCTTAGCCATGAATTTTCGGTATTGCTCTCAATAAATCTCTCTGGGTTGTCTCTCATAAATTGAACCCCAGCAGTATGTATATGCATATGATGGTTGCTATTGCCATATAATTGATGTGATACAGATCTAAAGAAACAATCACCTGCACCGCCAACATCTATTGATTGTAAACCAAGTTCACCTAATCTTGACTGCATCAAATTCTCAGAGGAAATAAGAGAGATCAACTGAATCAATTGTTGAGCTGTGATTTTGCATTAAAGGTCTAATTATTACTTCATGATGATCAGTGTTGTATTGAGTAGGTCCTGGATTCTTCTCAACATCTTTACTTAGGCCCTGTTTACATGGAGTGGGGGACCCCGG